TGGCTGAGACTGTCAAGGAGGCAGATCGGGGCAGAGCCAGCACAAGTCAAACAGAACCCTGGCCAATCAGCATCTCCTCATAGAGATGCATTGAATCAATGCATATCTATGAGGAAAGTTCAGTGTCTGCATGTAGAGGGTGGAGACACTGAATGGAAGTGCTGCTTACTGTGCACGACTGCCCAAGGAAGCAGCTTTAGCAGCCATCCAGGGAGTGGCCAGTGAAGTTATCAGTAGGCTGTAAAGTAAACATTTCATTTTCTCTGAAAAGGCAGTGTTTACAGCAAAAAGCCTGAATGGAATGATTCTACTCACCAGAACTAATGCAATAAGCTGTAGTTGTTCTGGTGACTATGGTATCCCTTTAAGACTCATTTGAACAAGGCCTTCTTAATCGCTTTTGTTTGTTCATAATTTTATTTGTTTTTTGATTAATAATATTCACTGGTTGAGAGAGTCTTCAGCGGCAGTTGATACTAGAGGGAATGCAAGTGTCCAACACAGTGAGGTATGAGACCTAAAGTTTTGACAAATTAGAGACAGAAGGGATCCAGAGACACCTGGCACCATAACTACTATTGTGCTGCCAGTGGGCACATAGTACTAATTTTTGTTTTTTGCTTTCGGAAACTGAGTAAACGATAATCTGTGAATTTTGCATTTTACTGGAAGTGTTTGGTCCCAAATTTCTTTAAATTCAGTGCTTTGTAAATGTCCAGATTACAACTTTATATAGGAATTGGGTGTGAAAAGCTGCCTATGCATCCAGCCGGCGAGTGCAGATTCCTTCCAACCAGATATGGGTTTAGTAAATATGAGAAACATAACCAAAATCTGGAATTGCAGGTGTACCAATCTACTAAGGTGGAGTGCAAACCTTTATATTAAACTACACATTCAGATCAATACTACTGTACTATCTAATATACTGGCAACATGTACCAATGTGGAATTGTGTAGTCATTACTAAAATGTACAATTAAAGGAACACTATAGTCACCTTAATTACTTTAGCTTAATAAAGCAGTTTTAGTGTATAGATCATTCCCCTGCAATTTCACTGCTCAATTTACTGTCATTTAGGAGTTAAATAACTTTGTTTCTGTTTATGCAGTCTTAGCCACACTTCCCCTGGCTATGATTGACAGAGCCTGCATGAAAAAAAAACTGGTTTCACTTTCAAACAGATGTAATTTACCTTAAATAATTGTATCTCAATCTCTAAATTGAACTTTAATCACATACAGGAGGCTCTTGCAGGGTCTAGCAAGCTATTAACATAGCAGGGGATAAGAAAATCTTAATTAAACAGAACTTGCAATAAAGAAAGCCTAAATAGGGCTCTCTTTACAGGAAGTGTTTATGGAAGGCTGTGCAAGTCACATGCAGGGAGGTGTGACTAGGGTTCATAAACAAAGGGATTTAACTCCTAAATGGCAGAGGATTGAGCAGTGAGGCTGCATGGGCATGTTCTATACACCAAAACTGCTTCATTAAGCTAAAGTTGTTCAGGTGACTATAGTGTCCCTTTAAAGAGTCTTCAATTAAATATGAAAGCTTTATTGAATTAGAACTTGACCCATATGAACCCCTACACATATATTGTAACAGCTTGTACTATGGTAAGACCTTGACCCCAGAAGTGGACTTCCTATAAATTATTATTATTATTAGTATGATATTTATAGAGCGCTGTCAAATTCCGCAGCGCTTTACAATGGGTGGACGAACAGACATGTAGTTGTAACCAGACAAGTTGGACACACAGGAACAGAGGGGTTGAGGGCCCTGCTCAATGAGCTTACATGCTAGAAGGAGTGGGGTAAAATTACACAAAAAGGTAAGGATAGTATTAGACTAGTGACAGTTGCAGAAGAGGAATCAGTCAGGAGCTATTAACAGTTTAATTTATAATAATAGGGAACTATTATGTAAACTGTACCCTATAACCTATAATTGCTGCTCTGTTCAGACACAACTCCTATTTATAAACGCTAATTCAGTACCACAAAAAGGTAATTACTATCATTACCTGATGATCCCATTAGGAAAGCATTGGAAGGCTAAAGCGCTTGCTTGGCAAATCACCGTACTGTGCTAATCAGCATGCTGATGCATTAAGTAAATGCATATCTGTGGGGAGCATGCAGCATCTCCAGGCAGAGACTCTGAGCGTCGGTCCTGCCATCTTTGCAGGACTGAACCCAGGAAGTCCCTCTTGTGGCTGTCTGAGTGACAGCCACTACATGTGGCATTAGGCAGCAGTGTAAACACTAAATTTTTTACACAGCTCTGCCAGCAGGCAGAGGTTATATCGCCCAGAACCACTATATTAAGATCCTTTTTTGGAATCAGGAAATGCCACACAAGTGGGTAAACACGCAAGATTATGTGACAGCACTACTGCAAAATGGGTGCTCATAGACATATACAGTGCACTGTCTTTTGGTGCTTTACAATGCACCTGGGATTTTGAGTATTTTTTTTTTATCACTTTCTGTTTCTACATATATCCTGAATACATTTGCTTTTTCTACACTATTAGTTCCTTCTCTTACATTTGCTTTATAGTGATTGATATTTAAATTAACTAAAATGGCTAACACTTATAATTAGAAGTACCCTTCACTTTCTTCCCTTTCTCTTTGCTACCTCTTTAGTCAGATTCCTAAAACATGGCCAGTCTGCCCTCTATGGCCCCTACAAACTAAGTTCCACTTCTAGAATGCTGCTCTTCATTCCTTGTTAAGAAGGAATTCTGTTGGCAGCCTTCTCCAATCTACAGCTATGGAATACAGAAATAATTTGCAGGGCATATCACCGGATGCTGAACTGTAGCAAACTGAAGTCTGATTTTCAAAATCAAGGGACAAAAAGCTAATTTGGAAACAGTCTCCAACTAAGCTATTCTAACGGCCTAGCCATTTTTGCCTGAATTTTGCAATTTAATTTTATATTAACTACAATTTGGTGTCTAGTGAATAGACCCTGAAATGTTATACAAGCCTGCGATCTCTGTAAAGAAATATCTCCATTTAAAGCATATCTATACCTTTTAACTGTTTATGTATGTTCATTGCATGTTATATGTGTAACCATGCAACACAATTGTATGTTTTGAGCATCACTGATCTTATCTAAAAAGAAGATAAATCTCCGGTGGTAAAACACTTTCCAAAAAAAATGAAAGAATATATACAAAAATGAACACAAAACAGGCCCACATTATTAATATGTGGTATGTAGGTTTAATATGAGTGGGGGGAAAAATGATACCATTCATTTCAATCTAAAACTGAAAAAAACATGTAAAACAAAAATAAAAATAAAACATTCAATAGTAAGACATAAAACAACATAATAAATTTGAACCTGTGTTATCTTCAATGTCCATTTTACAAAACTGTGCCAGATCAGCTGTCAGCTTGCCAAAGCCTTCTGATGTTCAAGGGCTCTTATTGTATAAATGATTAACACTGATACTACATTAAAGGAGCCTTTGATTCAACTTCAGACTGCTTAAGTGACTAGTCAGCCCCTAATCCACTAACACACAATTATCTGGGCCATGCATTAGATTATATATACTGTGAGTACCTTGGACAGAATTACATTTCCTGTCTAGCCAAAGGAAGAGTAGAAACCCCTATTACTTTCAACTTGCATACAGCATTTCAAACATATCAGTGAACGGTGCCAGATGTGGTTATAGTCGCTGCCAATCCGCTCAGATCTCCAGCAAGCAAATTATTTAACTGATTAAACGACTCATGTAATTGTGGTCCCATCTATACATATAGAATTACATTCACTCAGCAAAATAACGAGAGAGGGGGTTGTTTGTACAGAGCGAGTTCTCTGTCATTATTTCTATAGTTTTTTTTTGTTTTTGTTTTTTTGTCAGTCACATTATAGGAAAGAAAATGTAGTATAAAAGAATTTATAGAAAAGGCAATAAAAGGCGCCGTGTAAAATATCACCCTGCAACAAAGATCTTGCAGTTAAACTAGATTATATATATATATATATATATATATATATATATATATATATATATATATATATATATATATATATAGGAAATGAATTACTTTTCTGCAATTATCAAAAATCTTGTAAATCTAGCACAAAATGGGAAGATGGTCTTGACTCCCTCTGTGACCCCTGCTTGTTGATAATATATTACAGAATCGCCTGCTGATAGATTAAATAATCAGTGGGCCAATTTATTTATTTGGGATTCAGTTCACTAAAGCTTAATCGAAGAGAAGTCCCAAATTCTGCCACAAAATCTTAAAATGTACATAGAGAACGTGGCATATCTATAGGCAGACTTGAATTGTCCTAAATTGATATTTCAAATCTTCTCCTAATACTTGAATTTGCTTTCAAGTGACATTTAGTAAGTATGTAAAAGTAACCAGTGTTCCTTAGAGTCTGTTATTTGACTCAAATCCTGCAAATCAGACTACAGTATATCAAATACCCCCACAGTCTCATTGTGTCCCCTGTAAGACACGTGAGTGCTTGTTAGACTTCAAAAAAGAATGGTGATTTAATAAGATATAATGTTATGTGTTCGTGGTAACATTCTTACTTGCACTTGGAAGAAAAAAAAAAGCAAACTTGAAAACTGCAATTTCAAATTTTAATAAAATATTATCAGCTGCAAAAAAAACATATTTTAATTGGGGATTTTTTTTTCTAGTTCTGCTGTTTTTCTTCTAACATGATCTGAGATCCACAGTGGAGCCCCAGTTATTGTTGCACTTTAGTGAATAACCTTCCAGCAGAAAGGGACTCAGAGACCATTGTTAGATTCCTTTACATGAATTAAAAGTAAAACTCCTGTACATGACTTCTGTGTTTGCTGTGAACTTTAGCAGAGAAGTGAGCTTGATAACTAGCTCCCCCCTCCCCCCTTTCTACCTACCCCCCCCTCCTCCTTTCCCTCCTTCCTTCCTCCGTGCCCCCCTCCCTCTCTCCCTCCTCTGCTGTTGCTGCTTGTTTGCACTCGGCTGATCCAGAGCGGAAATTCCTTTCCGTTTTTGTGAATGACAAACTCATTAACAATTCATCAACACAAACCTGTTCCAGCCGGCCCGTCTCCAGGGCAACCAGCGTTCGAGAGCTCGCTGATTGGCTGCGGCGCACAATGTATCCATTGAGTCGCTGGCTGTTTGTATCCATTCAGTAGCTGGCTGGCCGCGCGGGGCTGATTGATCAGAAAAGAGAAAGAGAGAGCGAGAGCGGCGCCCACAGACACACGGTGCGGCCAGGCTGACAGGGGGAGCTGCGGGAGGAGGAGCCCGAGCCCAATTCACTCATTCACATCTTTAATTGGATTTCCAGTCCCCACTTCAAGACGGGTGGCGACCATAAGCAGCCAAGCAACTAGCCAGCCCTCCCATTGAGAAAATCAATCAATCCAGCCAGTTAGCCAGGGACTACTGCAATCCTCCAACCACCTACCCAGTACCTACCGCTAGCCAGGGACTACTGCAATCCTCCAACCACCTACCGAGTACCTACTGCTAGCCAGCACTCCCATTGAGAAATCCAGCCAGCCAGCTAGCCAGCACTCCCATTGAGAAATCCAGCCAGCTAGCCAGGGACTACTGCGATCCTCCATCCACCTACCTACTTATCCAGTACCTACCGCTAGCCAGGGACTACTGCGATCCTCCATCCACCTACCTACTTACCCAGTACCTACCGCTCTCCATCTCCCGGGGGCTGCCCGCCCATGCCCCAGTAGCCAGGCCGTGCCCCGAGCGAGCCCTCAATGATAGACAAGCTGAGACCCGTGCTCCCCGCTGCAGACATGGCGGTCAGTAAGTCGGTGGCCTGGCTGAACGAGCAGCTGGAGATGGCCGGGGACCGCCTGCTGCTCATGGACTGCCGGCCGCTGGAGCTCTACGAGTCGTCCCACATCGAGGCGGCCATCAACGTGGCCATCCCGGGCATCATGCTGCGCCGGCTGAAGAAGGGGAACCTGCCCATCCGCTCCCTCTTCACCAGCGGGGAGGACCGGGACAGGTTCGCCCGGCGCTGCGGGACCGACACGGTCATCCTGTACGACGAGAGCAGCAGCGAGTGGAACGAGAACACGGGCGGGGAGTCCGTGCTGGGGCTGCTCATGAAACGGCTGAAGGACGAGGGCTGCAAGGCTTATTACCTGGAAGGTGAGGGGGGAACACACCTGTAACTGGGGGGCTCTCACAGGCTACTGTGCAATGTACGACTGTCACACCTGGCATGGGGGTCTGTGCAATGCACGACTGGCACACATGGCATGGGGGTCTGTGCAATGCACGACTGTCACACCTGGCATGGGGGTCTGTGCAATGTACGACTGTCACACCTGGCATGGGGGGGGTCTGTGCAATGCACGACTGTCACTGGGGGGAGGGGGTCTGTGCAATGCACGACTGTCACACCTGGCATGGGGGGAGGTCTGTGCAATGCACGACTGTCACAACTGGCATGGGGGGAGGTCTGTGCAATGCACGACTGTCACACCTGGCATGGGGGGAGGTCTGTGCAACACCTGGCATGGGGACTGTCACACCTGGTACTGTGCAATGCACGACTATTACACCTGGCATGGGGCGGTCTGTGCAATGCACGACTGTCACACCTGGCACTGGGGGTCTGTGCAATGCACGACTGTCACACCTGGCATGGGGGGAGGTCTGTGCAATGCACGACTATTACACCTGGCATGGGGGCGGGTCTGTGCAATGCACGACTGTCACACCTGGCACTGGGGGGTCTGTGCAATGCACGACTGGCACTGGGGGGTCTGTGCAATGCACGACCGTCACACCTGGTATGGGGGAGGTCTGTGCAATGCACGACTGTTACACCTGGCATGGGGGCGGGTCTGTGCAATGCACGACTGTCACACCTGGCACTGGGGGGTCTGTGCAATGCACGACTGGCACTGGGGGGGTCTGTGCAATGCACGACTGTCACACCTGGTATGGGGGGGGGTCTGTGCAATGCATGACTGGCCGGGGGTGGGGTGGAGGGGGGGTTCTGTGCAATGCACGATCGTCTCACATATCTGGCACTGGGAGTTCTGTGCAATGCACGACTGTCCCAGGTTAATGTGCAGTACACGGCTGTCACACACAACTGTCACAGGGGCTAATGTGCAGTGCATGTTTGTCACGCATCTGTCACTGGAGGGGTCTGTACATGCACAACTGTTCCATACACCACTGGCACTGGAGGGACTGTGCAATGTACATTTGTCTCACACCTCTGGAGGAGGGGATCTGTACAATGTACATTCCTGGCATGGAGCTCTCTCTTCAATGCTTGAATGGCACACATCTGGCTAATGGGTGACTTTCAATGAGAGACTGTCACACACACCTGGCAAGTGGGTGCAATGCATGACTGTCACACATTTGACACGAACGTGTCGGTGTTGTGCAATGCTCAACGTTCACTCTCATTGCACTGCTTGTGTGTGCATTGCACGACTGTCACTCTCATGCCGGCTTGTAAAGCAAGTTATAGGCATTGCTTGGAAGGGATTACTAGAGGACATGATCAGATGCAGAGCCAGTCAGAGGGTTTTTTCTTTTTTTCTCAATATAGTGCAGATTGAAATGGCTGCTGTTAGTGGGCCCCTGATGGCAGAGCACAGATTTGATATAATGGTAGGGGACTTGTAGGACTGGCTTTGGTGGGCTGGATTGTGCTCTGTAAGATAAATAGAATGGCAATTAAAAATCATTTATCCTATTAAAGTCCATGTTAATAATTAAACCTCATCTCTGATCTTAGAATGTGTGCTGACATAGCGCTCCTCTATGTGCTGATCGGATATCACTGTCTGTGTCCTCTAGTAATGGTGAAAGTGTAATTTGGTCTATTTAAAAAAATCTTCTGCTCTGTAAATGTTGCTTAAGGGATCTAAAAGGCATTGGGGCTTACAAAAAAATAACTTTAGCATGTTCTATAGCGAATTGCTAAATAAGTGTGTGTGTGTGTGTGTGTATAACTTTATACTAAATACAATTTTTTATTTTTTTTTCTATATTCGATATGTAATATCCCCACTCCATGTTTACTACGTGTTTTATGGTTATTTTGAGTTGTTTCAGTACTGCCAATAAAAACACTTATCTAAATTATCATTTCCATTCAGATGCAAAGTCTTGGTGCACTTGATAACCCTGTGGTGTTATTAAAAGGCAAAAGACTTTAGGATTTAAAAAAAAAAAAAAAAAAATTCTGTTTGATTTAGCTGCTTTCGTGGGGTATATTCTAAATTGTTTTTTTGCTGATATTGCAATTATCGTTGCCAATATTAATAACTTTCTCTTCCTTTTTAACAGGTGGTTTCAACAAATTCCAGGCAGAGTTTCCTGTGCATTGTGAGACGAATCTGGACAGTTCATGCAGCAGTAGTTCCCCACCAGTGCTTGGTTTGGGAGGCCTTAGAATCAGCTCGGATTCTTCATCTGATATAGAGTCTGACATTGACAGAGACCCTGTCAGTGCAACCGATTCTGATGGAAGTCCCCTTTCCAATACCCAGCCATCATTCCCAGTCGAAATTCTGCCCTATCTGTACCTCGGCTGTGCCAAGGATTCTACTAACCTGGATGTCTTAGAAGAGTTTGGCATAAAGTACATCCTAAATGTGACCCCAAACCTGCCTAATCTTTTCGAGAATGCTGGGGAGTTTAGATACAAGCAGATTCCCATCTCAGACCACTGGAGCCAAAACCTGTCACAGTTTTTCCCCGAAGCGATCTCATTTATTGGTAAGTGCAATTTTGTTCAGCTTAAGGGGTTCTACGCTAAACTTTTCGATTGTACTGAGTTTGAAACCAAATTGCGTAGTTTGGGTTAGAATAGGCTGAGCTGGAGAATTATATTTGGTCTAAATTATGCTTTTCTGATTTCAATCCACTAAAATGTGATCTTCCGTTAAGAAACCCCCCACATCGCATATAGATGGTGGCGATGATTAAAGACAAAAAAGAGAAACTTTTCAAATTTAGATTCATTCTCAAATTAGTTTGTGTGTCTGTGTTTATTTTTTTTTTTTCTTTTCCCTTAACCCCCTTATTTCATGTTTTCACCTGTATAAGCCTACTGTAGGACCTCGTTTGGGCTTGCTCGTTAAGTCATTGTTGTGTACACACATGTGGCTGTCTCTTTAAATTTTAATAGCACTCAGTACATCGAACTTTGATCCTCCTCTCTAACATTGAGGGTGATGGTAATATGAGCACTGCTGGTAGAAATGTTTGGCAGGAAGCCAGGGAGAACCTAATCTCCAAGCATTGTAATGCATTTCCTCTTACAAAGGAACCCATTTTAAAGCTGTGTTGACATCCTGTTCCTCTTAATGGCCTGTCCCCTGTGACTTTCTTCTTTCTCTCTGAATGCCTCAATGCTTTCATTGTTCATTGCACAACAGTTAAATCTTTTTATATTTTAACTTTGATCCAGATTAAGTTAGAAATCACTGTCATGCAAATTCAAGACAAGTTATGGGGGTTTATTAATTTCAGTGCTGATAATATTTTAGATAAGGGTTTTTGTAAAAAAAAAAAAAAAAAAATTTCTTCTTACTTTGCTTTCAATTTTATTTTCTTTCATAAGAAGTGACAAGGATAGTCTGTCCTCAATTGCATCATTGTCAAAAAAAGTTAGCTGTACATACATGTACCATTATTTTTCTTCATCTCTTAAAGATGTGTAATTTATTAGTGTGTACATATGTGACATTCTAATGTGGAACTTTATTTTTTATTTTTTTTTCCCTTCCCAGATGAAGCCCGGGGCAAAAGTTGTGGTGTTCTGGTGCATTGTTTGGCTGGGATCAGTCGCTCTGTAACAGTTACTGTGGCCTATCTCATGCAGAAGCTGAATCTTTCTATGAATGATGCATATGACATTGTAAAAATGAAGAAATCTAACATCTCTCCTAACTTTAACTTCATGGGTCAACTTCTGGATTTTGAGAGGACATTGGGTCTTAGCAGCCCGTGTGATAATCGGGTTCCTTCTCAGCAGTTATATTTCACTAGTGCAGGAAACCAAAATGTGTTTCAGGTAGATACTCTACAGTCCACGTGAAACGTGCTCGCACTGAAATGATGGTGATAATCATTCCTATAAAGAAATAATTCTTTTAGGCTGCTTTGAGAAAGTTGTCGACAGCCCTATGTGATTTGGTTCAAGAAGTTCCTGTGTGAATCAAAGTTTATTAAAGTTGCAGAATTGCAATGGGGGAGAGAGATGATTAGTCAATGTATCCAAATGACTTGGAGAAGAAACTTTAAATGCCTTGGAAAGATTTGGCATGCTCATCGGCACACACTGTCTTAATGATACAGTGGCTTTTTGAGATCCAAACAAATGCAGAGCTGGACCTTGCGTATGACCTACATTCTGTAAAATTCAGAAGAATGTTGTTCCGTTCATGTCTTCTGTGAAGACTGGTTCTCCTAAAAATTCAAGGAGCCAAAGAAATGTGTCAACTTCTAAATAATTTGAAGTATTTACTTTTTTATGTTTCGTTTCTACATAGTACTGTAAATAAATATTTACTTTTTATATGTAGCATTGTCTGCTCATCCCTAAAACATAGAGGTGGGGTTGAGAACACTTTCTTCCTTCTATAATTTGAAAATGTTTGTAGCATATCAATGTTTGAGGGTTTGTGCATTTTGATGCACAAAAAAATTTAAAGATTTTCTCTGTATTTTGTTTATTCATATATGGCTGTAACTTACATATGGCTTGTTGCCTGAGCTCTTATATATATTTTTCTCTTTAACACATTAATTGTTCTGAAACTTAATGTGAATTACCTCTTGCTCTTACTCTTCTATTTTAGGGAGTCTCACCTCAAATGCTGTATTTTTCAAGTATGTAAACTGGAAAACATGTGTGTACCACTGTCATGCAAACGTTTAGATTGCACATTGATTGCCAATAAGGGAGAAATGTTACTCTCCCAAATGTCCACGGAGTTAAAGTTTTAAGATTAAGTTTATTATAGAAATGTAAATCTTTAAATTATTAATAAATTACTATTTTGGTTATTGAAAAATGTTTGTGTGTATATAATATATATATAATTTTTTTTTCTTTTTTTTTTTTTAAGTTAACCAAAACCAATTCTCTAGACCTTAGTTTCTCAACCTGTAGTACACGCACCAAAGGCGAGGTGGCCAACTGGCCACCTTCTCGCCCCCGGGAGGCGGTGAGGGAGCTGTAATCTTAAAGCAGTGCTCCTCCGTGCCCTCTCCAGTAATGCCATGGGTTATGTCGTACCCCCATGAGAGCAGTGCTGGAAGAGCACAAAGATTACACAAGCCCCCACTAGACCGCAAGGAAAGGATCCATTCCAGCTCTCCCCCCAAAAAGTGTCAAATCAGTGAGAGAGTGTGTGTGTGTGTGTGTGTGTGTGTGTGTGTGTTTGTGTGTGTCTCAAATCAGTAAGTGAGTCAATGTCCTCTATGTGTGTAACTATTAAGTGGTGTATTTTCATTTTGTGACTTTTATACTATTGATTAATAGTATATACACTTTTTTTTTTATATACCCCATATTCACATTTCTGTAATTTATTTTAAAAAATATTCATTGTCACATTCTTCTCCAATATAGGATTAATGCAAATATCAATATTTACACTTTGATTTGGAAACTTGTAATTTAAATCAATAGAAATTACTTTCTCAAGGTAGGTGTACTTAAGGGGAGATATATATAAGCTCTATCCCTTATTTAATTATTATTTATTTTTTTCTCCAGCAGTACTTCTTCATAAATGTTTGAGGAAACACTGTTCTTGACGGATCCAACATTCATTTATTTATTTTACCTATTCAAGTTCAACTCCACCTCAAACTGAGAATTACGTCTAATTTACCACTTTAATCACCTCGTCCTTCAATTCATTTCCTCGTTGGATTCAATGGTTCTCAGTCTTTAATCTGGGAAAACCTTTATTTTCTCTATCAAAAATGGTACTTACTCTTTTATAATCACTGCTTTTATAGAGTTCATGTCCATACCAATACCTCTTATGCGAACGAGCAACCTTTTGTCCTAAAGGTATGATAAACTCCTAGTGAGTCTCATTAAAGTCAAGAAGCCAGTGTGTGCATTAAAAAAAAAAACAAAAAAAAAAAACTACCTTCTTCTGATGATAAATAAAACTAAGTGGGGGAAAATTTAGCTTTCTCCTGATAAACATTTTCATTACTATGAACACGATTCATGGAAGTGTACGTCTGACACAACACAGCAGATACACAATGTAATTCATTTTTAAATCCGAAATAAAAAATGGTATGCTACAGTGCATGCAATGCTTGGAGTAGTATCACCATGAGCAGAAAATCTCCCATAGTTGCTCAATCCCACGGGACACCCAAGAATTGATAAGTAAATGTCTCTCCACTGCATGAATTGTTGGAAATTCCATAATTTCAGACAAAATAAGGTGACTTGGTGAATTTCTCAAATTTGACTAAAACTTGAATGTAGTTTCTCAGCATCTGCTGAGAAAGGGGCAGAATAAGCACTTAGGGCAATTAAAACTTCAATGGGCGAGTTATGGTGTTGGTTGGTGAATATTTCACATGGAACGGACTGTAGCATTAACAAATTCAGGAAACCTTGCCAATTGTTACTGCAGGGCTCACAATGTACACTCACTATTGATGAATACAAACTTACATTGGCAAGTAGAAATTGAGACCATGGTGAGTGCTATGAACACCAGAGCCTTGCAGTGGCTTGTAACTTTCAAGACCTGACTAGTAGCATAAGGCTTGAAATTTTAAGCCCTGCTTAAATATTGGAAAAACTACCTGAAATAGCTTTCTGATCTTTAAAATGGCATTGTAAGCCATGTGACTAGATCTGTGAGCTATAGTGGTCAGGTTGTCTGGGGTGACTAGGTGCTACCCCTGGTTTAATATCAAACTGTTTGATATAAACCTAGGGCTGCCCCATCTTGGCCACTGTAATTATGTAGATTTTATGTAGGTGTGTGCATTATCAATGGAATTGATTTCACTCAACATTAAATGACTGCCCCAGTCATTTGATGGCTGAGGGTGGGGGTGTTAGTTCAGCAGTCTCAGCCAATCAATATCATCCAGGTTTGATTAAATTGACCTTGATAATGCTGTGTTAATTCCGTATTATCCATTTGGCTGAGCTGGGGGAGCCCCATTTATCTGTCTATAGTCAAGGTTGTAAAAAAATAAATAAAAAAATCCCCCCTCCCTGAAAAATTTAAGCACAAACTGGTGCTTGGTACTTTTAGTTACCTAACCATTTTTGGTGCATCTGTCAGGAAACATGTTGCATAATTTACCACGCCACATAACAGCTAATGTTCTAGGGTTTGCCAAAAATGAAGTAGTATTATACTGCGAAAAAGAAAAGCATTACATTGCTTTGTACAAAATTATGTATAACTTTGAAATACTCAGAGGAATGAGGTGTAGGTGAAATGTACTAATCCGTATCATTACTTTCACACTCTCGCTATTCCTTATACTGTTATGTTCAAAGTACAGATTTTCTTGCGGCTCTTGCAATTTCCTGTCCAGCTGTATCTGAAGTAGCTGCTTGTTTTAATATGTCCTGTAGATAATTTTAGCCAGTTTCCTCTTTGTGGATTAATAATCTGCTTTCCTCCAAGACTACGCTTGACTGTGTTCCTACAGTTCTGTAGAAACCAACAGATGGCTGTCCCACCATTTCCTTTGGCTTTGCTGTAGGTTTTTCTGCTTTTTTTTTGTATTTTGTTTATCATCCTATTTCTGGAATTAACAATGATGGTTAAAGGCAGTGTTCCTATAAATTTTCTTTTTTTTTTTTTAAATGGGCAAGTAACACCTCCACGTGGAACATTGCTTACAGCTGTATGTATATTTATATATATATATATATGTCTATCTGAGCCTCAACTTTTTTAACAAGCCGTTTGTAAACACCAGCTGGCCAAGGTTGCGTTTGCATTACATTGTTCAAAGCATCTGCTTAAGGCGAAAACAGTGGGGGTACAGTTGCAGTGTATGGTCATACATTATATAAACCTGCCACAACACTTTAGCATTAGTAGAAAGTAGGTGCAGGAACTCAAGGTTTCTTCAAAAAGGCAGATTTATTGAAATCTGAATGTACAATGTTTTGACCTACACAGAGTCAACCTTTGATGCACCCGTTGTGTGGATATGGATATTAGCTGAGGCTTTAATCAATGCAAACTGGACTTTGGTCATATTCCAGTATAGTATATAAGACAGAAAGATTGTACACACAACAGCATGCCTTTTTTTATACAACATAATTTTCTTTCTTGGTCCAACAACACCCTTCTAAAAGATGGACCTCTTCTAATATGTTACATTTCCTGGCTATCCGTAACAGCATATGCAAATGGTCTGCCTCACTCAGGACAGGAAAAATAGAAAAGTCCATCAGTCCACATATTTAGCAGCAATCAGACCTGTAAACCTGACTCCAGAGGCATATTATCCTAGGTACAGGTTTTAGCTTTAATTATAAAGCTTTAGGTCAGCAAAGCTGGGTTATTGCTATTTCAATGACCTGCATATAAAAAGGTCACATTTAGAAGCAGGTTAATGAGCATTGAAGTAAATACTTCATGTCGTATGATGGGGAGCTATTGAAGGGACACTATAGTCACCAGATCAACTACAGCTTGTTTAATTTGTTCTGGTGAGTAGAATCATTACCTTCAGGCTTTTTGCTGTAAACACTGTCTTTTCAGAAAAAATGCAGTGTTTACATTACAGCCTAGTGATAACTTCATTGGTCACTCCTCAGATAGCTGTTAGAGATCCTTCCTGGGTCATGGCTGCCTAAAATGCATCCAAACATTCAGTATCTCCTCCCTCTGAATGCAGACACTGAACTGTCCTCATGGAAATTCATTGATTCAATTAATCTCTATGAGGAGATGCTGATTGGCCAGGGCTGTGTTTGAATTGTGCTGGCTCTGCCCCTGATCTGCCTCTTTATCAGTCTCAGCCAATCCTATGGGGAAGCATTGTGATTGGATCAGGCCGCCACTTCTGATGATGTCAGAGGAAGTTCACAGGCAGAGGCCGCAGCTTCAGACTTGAATACAAGTAAGATTTTACTATATTTAGGGAGATAAAAGGGGCCAAGGGGGCTAGATAGTTGTTTTAACACTATACGGTCAGGAATGTTTGTTTGTGTTCCTGACCCTATAGTGCTCCTTTAAAGAGTGCTTCTGGTTACAATTACGTGTCTGTTAGTCCACCCATTGTACATTGCTACGGAATTTTGCTGGCGCTATATAAATAATAAAATAATAATAATAATATACAATGCTATGTGATTGTGATACCAGTAGTCTATACTACTCTACTAAACCTAAAGTAACAATCTAGTGATAGGAATACAGATTTGTAGACCCAGCGCTATAGTCTTCATGTTCCTAGTTCGTTGTAACCTCCTCCCCCAGTGTACACTGTAAAAAATGAAAAATATAATTTTTACTTTTTTCCAGCACAGAGTCTCTGCCAACAGTTCCACCTCCAGGAGCAGGACCTTAGGAGGAATCCACCAATGATTCTCTTGTCATAGAGAATCATTGAATGCACGTTCTCTATGACAATCAGTGATGGCACTGCACATGTGTTTGTGAGATCTTGATTTGCCAGGGTATGAGTCCCAGCTCTTCTATTCAGAGGGGTTGGAGGCGTGGCTTCAAGCCTCAAAATTAATAAAATATAGGGATTTGGACGCTAGGACACGAGAAACTACTGTAGGCAATATAACAACTTCAACTAGATGAAGTTATTCTAGTGAGCACAGTGTTCCTTTAAGATAACAAATTGATTTTGATGTTTTGAATATCTTGTTGGTTTCATAACTCCTTATTTAGGATGGGCAGTCCCTATTTTGGGCCCAAATCCCTCTGACCCTCTTTTCTATCCTAAAGGAGTGAATAGGGAGAGGGGAGCATGACTGCTGCCCTGAGGAGGTGACATAGCAACCAAATGGATACAGTTGGTTTTACAGGTGGAAGCAGGT